CTATCATACGTCATCTCAGTCATCACTCCCTTTTTGATCATGTCACCTTTCACGCAATCCATCCATCTCTTTCTAGGTCTACCTCTACCGACGTACCCTTCCATACTCATAACTAACGCTCCCCTTGTAACATGCGATACATCCCTCATAACATGCCCATACCATGCTAACCTTTTACTGCTCACCTTCTCTACTACTGCTACTCTCAAACTTCCTCTAATATACTCATTTCGTATCTTGTTTATTCGTGTTACCTCATCTAATTTAACATTCTCATTTCTGCCACATGTAGTCTTTCATCCGTCCTTTTTACTGCCCTACATTCAGATTCACTCATCATGACAAGTCTATTTGTACAATTTTATTTACTATTAAATTCGAAAGTTTAGATGGATGGATATTTGTTAGTTTGTAGCCTTAACTGCTGAACGGATCTCGAACAAATTTGGCATAGATGTAGAGTATAGTCTGGAAGAACTTACATTTTTTTCAATATTAAATTAAGTAAATGTTCTTATGACATTTTAGTTGATGAATTTGCGAATTTATCATTGAATCCCAATTCGCAGACACAATATTTTTAAAACTCATGAGTACTTACCTAATTTGATTATTATCTCTACTTTTAATTTGTTTATTGTACAACACGTTTATTAAATCACAGTAATTACGTCAGCAAATGTTAACAGTTCAAGGAATTAGGAAGTGACGTCACCTGTCAACAACGAACGTCAAAGTAGGGATTAACAACTGCTTCTTCGTTTGAATTAATAGCGACATTAAAAATATATCTTCAATTTCTATAATCGGAGAGAATCTGTACTTTTGTACGATTTAAATAATTCCTTAACAATAAAAACACAGCTAATGAGGTATTTAATTAAAAAAATATAAAACCTCTATCATTCCATGAAAAACAAAGGAAAACTCCAAACATTAATTTCAATAATTTAATAAAGCGCCATCTATTGACAACATTTTGTAATAATCTTTAATGATCACCGAAAACAATTCAGCTGAATTAATCCATCACTTGAATAGATTAGGTTTCTGCGTGTACTTAAATACGAAAGACGTAAATTACGTATGCCGTGGCTGTCACGTCACGTTAAAGCGAACCACAGCTTGAATATTTATGAAGGCTGAATATAAATGCGTTTTGACACTTTACATGTTCGTTACGTTATGATATACCTTCATGTATTATCCTAGCTGTTGCCCGCGAATTCGTCCACGCAATATTAAGATAAATTGTAGCTTATAATATGCCTGTTTATGTCAGCTGCCTTTCAGTGAAAGTTCGGTCGAAATCGGCTAAGCCGTTTCGGAGATTACCCGTAACAAACGGGGGCGGTCAGACAGAAAAAAAATGTTAAACGCGATTTTCGTTATCAGCAACGCAAATACACCTTATTCATGAAATCTGGAATTTTTCCTTTGACATTACAAACAGACACTCCAATTTTATTACATGTATATTATACAGATATAAATAGATGACTAGAGTGAGATAGATACAGAACAAGAGATCTAAGAAATACAAAATCCATTAGTAAGTTTGGTCAGCTTCAATAATTACGGTACATTTCGTCTTCTAAATTGATGTGCAAATTGCAATTACTCCTTTCGTAATTTACTTCAAGCATATCCTCCTACTGACATGTCCTTTGAATTTCGTGTTTAAAGTTATATGACATTGTCTCTTTCTTACAAGCCCTTTCAATCCCCATATGTTAAGCGTTTGTTCTTTACTGGTATTACGTTTTAATTACACAGGCTTTCTAACTCCAAGTATGACAAATGAAGATAATAGAATACAGATGATAGATTTTTGTGATTATATAAAGAGTTCGTAACATATTCGAATACATAACAATGCATGTTGCAAAGCCATTACCTAAACTGAGGGATTACTGTGCAGTGGCGTTCTGGCGTCGACCAGGGCCGCCTAAGCCCCGAATTTATTGTTAGGTGCGCTTGTATGCAAGCACAAACACACTCGTTATGCGGACCGAGATATCGAAGTTTATGCAGCCCTGGTATTTACAAATTGTTTTCAGTTTATGTAAAACAAACTGTCCCCGCAAACTTCGTTACCGCGGAATTTTTTTAAGTTATCTATCACATTCTCGCGTGCATCTACTTTCTACCAGCTATCTTTCAGTCAAAGTCCCATCAAAATCGGACCACCCTTTACCCCATTTTGATAGCGCCGAACTAAAAAAAAAGTAACCTATAATATCAGTCAGTTACTCTCCAGTGAACGTCCCGTCGAAGTCGGTTCAGCCGTTTTGGAGATTACCCGTAAGAAACGCGGCTTGCGGACAGACAGTCAGAGAGACAGGCAGACAGACAGAGAAACAAAAAAAATTAAATGCAATTTTCGTTACCAGCAAAGCAAATAAATCATCTTCCCGAAATCTGGAATGTATCTTTTGATATTACAGACAGACACTTCAATTTTATTATATGAATAGATAAACATGCTATAGTTTCATTTTTGACCGATTTCCCAAAAGAAGGAGGTATTCAAATCGTCTGTATGTTTTTTTTTTTTATTGTTGGCGAGTGGCGCTGTAGTCGCTGTTATTTTGACAGAAAATGAAAATGAAAATGGTAAGATACGATATCTACTTAAGTTTTGGTTTTGCACACCGCGCTGGTTTGTATCACTATGTCTATGAATATTTGTGTTTGGAATACCCGTTAATTTCGCTAATACATTTTCTTTCGTTCAACACTCAAAAAGTGTCCTGACAAAAAAAAAAATAGCAATTAAAACTACTCACCATTTTGTAGCGATGTTCTGTGATTTGATCTGTAACAACACAAAAACTTATAAGATAAAATAATTTTGGATGTAATTTAAAATAGATTTAATCATAGATCATACTTCATACTAATCATATCATACTAATATTATAAATGCGAAAGTTTAGATGGATGGAAGAACACATAGACTACTCGCTTTTGTTTTTTTTTAATCCCACGCGAACGGGTCGCGGGCGAAAGCTAGTATAGAATAAAAGTTATAAATGTTTGAATAGTTAGGGCCTGTCCCAGTAGATTCTGATAACAATGTGACGTGTAAAATTATATGATGGAAATATCTGATTTTGTTCCCTTATGACAGTGATATAATTTGACTATCTGAGCCTCTATCAGCCAGTGATGGGACAGACCTTTAGTGATTTAATTAGAAAATACTGTAATTACAATTTATGCGTACATCAGAATAAAATTCCCCAGTTTTCTTTAATCGTTTTAGAAATTGCAGAGATGCATTTTTAATTGGGTTGTAAGACCTCTCTGGAGGGTAAATCCGCAACTAAACTGCGTTGCAGAAATACCCCATGGACTCATTAATGTTCATTCTTTATTGATTTACTGAATCATTTTCCAAGTTAAATTTATATCAAGCTTTTTTTTTAAATGTAGATGTAAAAATTACCGCAATAGTTTTTAAAGAAAATTGTCAGAATCATAGTTAAAATAAAAACTTAACATAAAAGATAATTGATGAAAATTGTTACGTTTTTAAGATTACATTCTTGCGAACTATAACCTAAATGTAAACCGACGGCTCCTATGTAAACTATCGTATGTTTGAAACTTAATTTTTTTCAAGACAAAGATAACTTTATTTCCCTTATAACAAAATACAAAAAAATTACATATTTACACTAAAAAAAATGTGAAATAATTCTCTTACAGATAAATGATAAAAAATAGCCGTTAAAAAAATGTCAAATTTTTCAAAAAATCAAAAACTTTAAACATTAATACGAAACCCCACCAAAATACGAAAACACGATAGTCAAAAAATAACTACAAAATAACGTTACTTTCAAATTTATACTTAAATTACGAGTAGTATATATCAAATAAAAAAAACACAAGTTGTAAATCTCGAAATTTGTACTTAGGATAGTTTACGTAGGACCCGTCGATATATAAAAAGGCAGATAATTTTACTTACATATTTAATATTTTCCTCTCCCGTGACGTGTAAGGCTTGGATGAATGTCGCGTGTTGTAAACAAGTAGGGCATCTGAAAGTCAAGTAACATAGTTAACGAGCAGAACATCTATACAAGTCTATACTTAGTTAAAGAGGATAGATTTGTAGTTTTTTTTTTATAACATAAGGTGGCAAACGAGCAAGCGGCCACTAGAATCCGCCAAAATGGAGAGGCGACCGCTGCCCATAAACATCCGCAATTGCAGATGCGTTGCCTACCCTTATACGACGGAGGAGGAGACGCACATAAAAAGGATATTTCCCCTTCCTATGCATCTCCTCCACCGTCAAATCCACTTCCCTTTTCCCAACCTCTCTTTATAAGAAAAGGATGGTAAAGAGAAAGGGACATTAGTAGAGAAAGGGGCATTAGTAAACGTAGTTTTGTATATCTTGAAACAACTCAAAAACTACTTGGTTGATTTCACAAATTCTTTCACCATTAAAAAGCTACGTTGTCAGTGAATAACATAGACCTTTTTTATTTATTTTTTAGTTTCACGCGGGCGAAATCGCGAGCAACGGCTAGTCCAGAATATAAAATTTACTTAGAAATTTTATCCGTTACGTTCCTTACGTACAAAAATATCTTTGAATAGATTAATTGCTCGTTACATTTATTTTAAACAACAATTTGTAACGACGTAAAGTTTGGTCATTTTGGTGATAAATTTTAGTTGAAACAAGAGTTACTTTGTAAAGTAATAATTCTATAAATTATTTGTATTAAAAAACAACAGAATACACCACAAAAGACAAATTATAGTCAAATACATTATTTTTTAGACGTTGGAATTAAATCAATCAAATCATACTAATATTATACTAATCATACTAATATTATAAATGCAAAAGTTTAGATAGATGGATGTTTGTTAGAGTTACTAACAAAAACGGCTGAACGGATTTCAACGATATTTGGTATCGAAGTAGAGGATAATCTGGAAGAACACATACATAGGCGACTTACATTTGTTTTATTTTTAATACCCCGCGGACGGAGTCGCCGGCAAAAGCTAGTTAGGTCATATTTTTCTATCCACTAAGGGACTGCTAAAGTAATCGTCTAAACACTCTGAGTGTGTAAAGCACCAAACAAACATGTTTTCTGTTTGTGTTCATAACGCCGAACGCCATTAAATAAACAAAGATGGCTTCCATAGGCGAGATTACTCCAAACTCGGCAATGTAATTATAGCTTCCCAACTTTAACGACTTGTTTAGAATTGAGAATTCGCAAACAAATATTTAATTACGAATGTCTTGTTATTAAAATTATATTTAGCTTATAAATATTACAAAATTTAAACCAAAAAACCAGACTGATTTGAAAACTTATTTAAGACGTAATCATATATTCGATAATGTAGAAAAAAAATAGCCATGAAAAGTCATAACAACTGCGATTTGAAATCGTCTAAATCAGTCCCTTAGTGTAGAAAAATTAATGTTAAATATGCTAAAGAGCCGACTCTAATATACATTTTTATATGAATTCACTTACCATTTTCAATCCATGAATTTCCATTAGTATTTGACCTGAAAATAACAAAAAAGAATATAAAAGAAGGTAGAAAATCATAATAATGTAGCATCTATTTAAATGGCTCAAAATATAGATAAGTTTATCATAACCTCTCACAAAAAATAACCTCAAAAACTAATTAAACTCCCAAATAGAGAACCCTAGCACGTTTAGTACCTTTGATACTAAAAAAACGCGTCAGTCACAGAGTATATGGTTTAAGAATCTTTATTTACCTTAATAATAATATACAATTTACTTACTTAAGGTAATAACTTATGCCAAACATAATATTTTAATCAAGCGTACTGACAATCTTACTAATATTATAAATGCGAAAGTTTAGATGGATGGATGGATAGATGGATGTTTGTTAGAGTTTGTAGCGAAAACAGCTGAACGGATCTCGATGAAATTTGGCATAGAAGTAGAGGATAGTCTGGAAGAACATATAGGCTACTCACTTTCGTTTTTTTTTAATCCACGCGGACGGAGTCGCGTGCGAAAGCTAGTTTAATATACATTTGCTGAATGCGGGTAGCTACGAAACATTATGTATACAAACTAATACTATTGTTACGTTGCATCGAGATATGGTGTACTGGATGTGGCATGAAATACGTTCATTCATTAATTTATTGTATAGTTTTTTTTTGCTTCTTATTTTTAAAAACTGTTTTTAACGTATCTTTTCCTTTCCATTATTATACATTTATGTTACACTACTGTTTTATTTTATTTTTAATTTAAAATAGGTTAAATTTTTATTTATTTCTATTTAAGAGTGATGCTTGTTATTTAATTATTCGTTTTTATTTTATTATTATTACTATTTTCTTATTTTTTTTATCTATTCGCTTCTGCAGACTCTTGGTCCGTATTCTTTTTTGCACAGTTTGTTTTTCTTTTCTTTTTTTTTGTTGCCTAATCCTTATAACACAAGTGAGTTCCTTTTTTTAAATACAATTATACCACTGCTTTTACTTTATTTTTTTTATATGTATAAAACGTTAGAAGCAACAAAGAGTTGAACATCTTGCAGTAATCCTATTAGCCTTCAGAGTGAAGTTTGCAACTTTTTTTCCAATCCGCTTATGTTTCCTGAAGCTGTATTCTTCAGGATTTTACAATTTTCTAATCTCTAAAACCATGTAGAAACTATTTTTGCTGTCAGTTGCAGTGTGATTGAAACCAACGAGCAACGAACCACTCGGCGTTGATGTTACACAGTGTAACATTACCGCATTAATTGCTCCGTTACATATTTACGTCTCATCATACCCTAAGAGTGACTAGGACATAGTCTACGCTGGTCCACTATAGGTCGACTCTAACATGTCTTTAAATTTCTTTCCAATATGTGCAGACTTTACAATGTTTTCCTTTACCGAAATTCGGGTAAATAATATGAATCGAAAATTACACTGATACAATCTAACCCAGCACCTGTAGATTACAAGTCAAGTACTTGTAAATGTGCAAGTTTGGATGGATGTTTGTTAGAGTTTGTAGCCTAAACTGCTGAACTGTTCTCGATGAATAGATATTGAACATAATCTGGAAAACATAGGTTACTTTTTTTGGTTGTTTTTATTCTACACGGGCGAAGTCAGGAGTGACAGCTAGTATATTAATAGTGTGTGTACATATATACTCACATTATTGTAGAATTATCGTCAGCTCCTGTGTAAGTCGAGTGGACTGCGTCGTGTGCGGCATCTGCACAAAGGAGTATAGGTTACAAAGCGAGCTTAGGAATTCAACTACTGAATTAATTTACATAGAATCTTGAATGTATTATGTCTTGCAGACATGTATTGCCATCTCTTTTATTCCCTTCGATAAAACAGAGACAGAATTTACAATGAATGTGTGATAATGCTTTTTGAATTGTCTTAAGACTATCGTCATTTTCATTGTTATTAGAAATGATGTCCATTTAGCATTGCTGTTAGAGCTATTCTAAACTATTTTTTTAAAATTAAAAACGATATTATCTACACCATTATTTTGATGAGAAGATTTGCAGAATTTAATTCCGAAGGTAAATAATATATACTGTAACTTATCCTCCACTGACGTAGGTATTTCAAAGAAATAATAATGACGTAATATCAGAAACACCCTCCTTCAATCTTTAGTGAAAACTGCACAACACTACGTAACTGGATTGCAAAGATTTACGGAGATTAACATATTGATTTTATACGTGCGCACAATCAAAGAGCAACATTCCACCATTTAATGACAACTGTCATTAGTTATATCAACCCATTCGGGGTTGTCCGTTCAAAAATTTAAAACACCAATTCAAAACAATTTCATATGATGCCAACATTTAAAATTATTATTTAACCAGCTGTTCCCATGCGGCTTCATCCGCATGGAATTATCAAAACTTTATTTTATTGTTTACATGTGTCAAATTATCAATTGCAAATGTCAAAATGACGTGACATGATGACAAAGCATGGCAACTTATGGTCTCTTTCCCACATTAGGGTTTTTATCCAAAATATTTAACCCCTTAAGTTTAACAGCGTGAAAATATATAGCTTAAATCGTGACGTAAGTGTAGGGCTTTTTATTGAAAGAAGAATTATTCAAAAATATGCTGTAATTGCTGACATCTTAGGCAACAAAGAAGTGTGTGTTTACGCTTCATTATAATAGTATAGGAGTATAGATATGGCTAAGTATAGAAGTATAGATAGTAACTTAAAATTAATATTTAATTCGCGTCGTTGTTTAAATATTATACTTGAAAAATGTCAGAATATTAACTCAATTTAATCAGAATAGTTCTTTGAATGTTACGAGACAATTTACTAATATCTTATTATATTACAACTTTTATTTCTCATTAAAAAAAAAACATTAATATTAATATATCTTAAGAGAACTGTTTAGTCTCTTTACAAGGTGCGCACACTACTCGATTATTATTTGTGTAATAAAAATTTGAATTGGCTACGAAAGAATCGAACAGTTGTGCGATAGTTTAGTCAAAGGTGTGCACCCGCTCTTAACAAACAAAAATAAATATAAAATTCTCAGGCAGTATAATTCAAGTGAGAAACAAAACTGTTGAAAAATCTGAAACTGTGCTTTGACGTAAGTTCCAAAGGGTTTTGAAAAGAGGAGAAAGAACGACATAAAATCTACCAGCAACAAGCAGGCGTAGACGAAATACTTAAAGAGCGTATTGCAAGCGCAAACAAGCAAGTGGAAATATTTATTTTGATAAAATTGCAAATCGTATGAAATTCTTTGATTTTGTCTGCTAAACATACTAATTTCAAGTTTGTGAAACATTTATTAAACAACTAGCTGTTCCCGTGCGGCTTTACCCGCGTAGAAATTTTCAATTTCAAATGCTCAAATAACAACCTTATTTCCTTGATGTTGTCAGCTTGTAGTGTATGGTCTTTTCCCCACATGAAGTTTTTTTTTAATTTATTTACCCCCTACTAATAAGGTAAATATATATAGCCTATAGCGTGACGTAAGTGTAGAGCTTTTTATTAAAGAAGGAATTATTTAAAAACGTGCTGTGATTGCTGACACCCTACTCCACAAAGTAGTAGGTGTTTACGCTTTATTATATTAGTATAGATTTACGCCTATAACCCAGAGGGGTAGCCAGAGATTAAGGACCTCCATATAGTGTGTTTTACAAATTGACTTTGTTTTTGGATGTTCTTGATACCTTCTTGAGTGTTTTGACAGTTTGGATGATAGAAGACTATCTGAGACCGCCCCTACCAACACTGCTACTCAATTTCGAGTCCTTTGCCTTTGTTAATATATTTTGCCTTTGTTAATCTTTTCAGTATGTCCTAGCCTAGTATGTCATTTTTAACTCCACTTGCATCATCTTTTTCTTTTGTAGTTGTTTTTGCCAAATGAATTTGAAAAATAGGATCTAATTTGCAAAGATGTATTCTAAACTACAAACTTCATTATTTTGTAAAACCCTCTCCATCAAATCCATCCTTGTTTTAGAAAAGGCAGAAGCTTTTGTTTCGGTTTAGGCTCCACTGTTTCGGAATCAAAAATCAACGAAACACAAATCGGACTTTGTTTTAAAGTATCATCAATTCCCAATGAAATCAACTCCGCAATACAAGCCAGATCTAACACGAGCTTACAGTGTTCCAAATACATTTCCCATGTCCAAACAAGGCGAGATTCCACTCATTAAAATGCATGAAGCAATGCTTGTATTTCGTACAGGACTAGGCAAACTATGCATGCTTGTATACTGGTATTATCTACTATCTACTCACATGAGGAAATCGGTATACCGCTATACATAAATCATAATGTCACCTAAACGGTGGTTTAAAATGTTTAATCTATACTGACATGTGGCTCTCGCCTTTGTTCGCGTGGAATTTATCTATCTATACGTATAATAAAATTGGAGTGTCTGTAACATCAAAAGAAAATTTTCAGATTTCGGGAAGATTATATATTTGCGTTGCTGATAACCAAAATCGCATTTAATATTTCGACGGGACTTTCACTATAGGGTAGCTGACATGGATAGGCATATTACAGGCTTTTTTTTTAATTTTATTCGTCAAAATGGCGTTACGGGTCCAAGTGTTGTAACGAAGTTTCCGGGCGACAGCTCGTTTTAGTATAAATGAGATGTCTTGGTTTAAGTATCCATTTGAAGATTTTTTAGTGGTATTTAGATCGTTTTGTTAGCATATAGAATATGCTTCCAAAAAAGCGTTTTAACATAATATGTAAAAAGTAATTGTAACAGTATGTGGCTCATAGAATGAACATTATTCATACATTTTGATGAGCGTATGTAAATCTGAATACTGCATGCGTGTGATGAGAAATTTCATTTTTATTTGAAAACTCGTTCAAACCTAGTTTTAACTTTTGCTACAGTGTTATGGACTTTATGCTATACTAGTTGTTACCGTGCGGCTACATACGCATATCTAAAAACATTTTTAAGTGTTATATCGTAAAACTTTTAAATGTCAAATTCTTGCGTTTTTGCTTGGGTTTTAGGTTTAGTTTCCTCCCCTTATGATAGTATCTTCTAAATAATTCGGGCGTAAAACAGCATGAAAATAAAAAGCCAATAGTGTGACGTAATTGTAAGAATTTTGTTACAAAAATAATTCAGTAATACTCTTTCAGTGCTATACTAATCTATACTAATGTTATAAACAGGAAAGATATGAACTTTTGTATGTATTGAAATAATTCATAAACTACTGGGCCGATTTCAAAAACACTTTATGAAAAAGATACGTTATCAATAAGTAACATAGGCTATTTTTTTGAATTACTTGCGACCGAAGTCGCGAGTAACAGTTAGTCATTTATAAAAAAGAAGTGTGTGTTAACGTTTTATTATATTCCTCATCACCAGCTCACTATATGTCCCCACCGAGGGGCTCGGAGCCTACCATAAGTAAGGGTGACTAGGCCATAGTCACCACGATGGCCCACTGCGGGTTGCTTGACTTCACACATATCTTTGAATTTCTTCGCCTATATTTGCAGACATCACGATGTTTTCCTTCACCTTAAAACGTCGGGGAAATTATGTACATATGAAAATTCGAAAAATCGAAAATCACAATCGTACATGGCGGGATTCGAACCCAAGACCTGTAGATTACAAGTCAAGTGCTTAAACCACTGAGCCACCGTCCCTTATTATATTAATTTGAGTGCCATGTCTTAATGTTATTACAGCATTTATGCCTATATTTTCATCTACGCCTTTGTCTTTGTATATAACTTGTGCAACTTCGTACATCTTCATTTACGTTTCCGTGATTTACTTGTGTGTCGTTTGCATTCTAATTTAAATCAATATCCAAATAGATACATTAAATACCATTTGATTCTAAGACTTTACTGTAGCTACGACTATCACATTACCTGCAACGTGGCAACCACAAGCCAGCAGATTGCCGACGATCGTCGCTTCATACATTTTAATGAGCACGGAAACATTCGCCGTAATTAAACACGACACTGGAATTTATTTCCAAAACGTACTTGATTTTAGCAACAAATAAAAGCCTTTTAGAATAATACTTTTTAGTATTCAGAAAAGTAAATCAAGCATTAATTTAAATAGATTTAAATCCTCCTATTATAGATTCCTATAAGCTTATATGGGGGTGCGCACACAACTCGATTTTTAGTTGTGCAACTAAACAGTTGTATTGGCTCCGAAACAATCGACAATCGCATGACAGTTGTGAGGTAGTTTAGATAAAGGTGTGTGCGCCTAAAAAGACAAAAAGAAAATCATGCGTTGTATTTATTATTCAATTTTACAATATAATTCTCGAAAACGACCGTAACGTTTGCGAAACTAAAGGCTGCGTAAATCCGGATTAAATTTTGGACAGATTTCGCAACGAACAGACAGCCAATCACTGAGCTTCAGCTTAATTAGAGGGAATTTGCATTTTAATAAAAAATGGCAACTGAAATCTTTGAAAAAAAAAGGAATAATATTTTTGGAAAATTTATCAAAGAACTTTAGGTTGAAAAAATACTGGCAACTATTTTAACGCATTTTACCGAATAATTCTGCTTTCATCTACTCAATATAGGTTTTGCCAGCGACTTCGTCAGCGCTAAATAATAAAAAAAAACTATTATAACATAGCATATAACACTCTATTGTGTATCTTTCTATTAGTAAAGTAGTATTTGTAATCAGTTCAGTTGCTTCGAATCCTTGCAAACAAACTATTTTGTCATTTACGCGAAGTTATAGTTACAATTTTTTTCAAACACAAACACTAGCTAGCTGTTGCTCATGACGTCTGCGTGAAATTAAACAATAACAAACTTATTGATAACGATTTTTATTGGTGAAAGAATTTTTGAAATCGGTCCAATAGTTTTTGAGTTATGTCAATACATACAAAAATCCAAAAGTACAAATCTTTTATCTTTATAATAGTATAGATGCCTCTGTTCTTTATAACCTATTCAAAATTCATTGAGAATACCCGATAAGTGACTTCAACAGCACATTTTCTAAGTCCCGTTTCAATCAGTCAACGTCGCTCCCAAACATAAAGCGAGCGACAGAATTTTATTTAGGAATTGACAGCGAATGTGGAACATAAATCAAAGATCGCATGTGATTTTTGAGGAAAAATATATATCGAATATGTATTAAAATATGCATTTTATTATTTAAATCATAATTCATACAAATATTATAAATGTGAAAGTTTAGATGGATGTTTGTTAGAGTTTGTAGCTTAGGCTGAACAGATTTCAATGAAATTTAACACAAATGTAGAACATAGTCTGGAAGAACACATAATGTAATTTTTTTGAATTCCAGGCGGATAGAGTCGCGGGCGAAAGCTAGTTTTCATATACAACGTTGATAGCATTGAATACAGCGAAAAACAATGTTGGACCGATTTGGACGGGTCTTTACTGGATGGTAGCTATTTAAAGGTAGATGCACACGGGAATGTTCTGCGCTTACGAAATTTGCAGGCGACGTCATCGGTAATAACATGATAGATAAATACATAAAACGTAAGTTAACTCAAAACGGTAATTAAAGAAGCGTTTAGCAAATAACTTTATCCAAGCCGACACTCCCGAACGCACTGTTGCGAATAAATTTTAATGAGTTTACCTTGGTAGTGGCTTTCACAAGTTTTATCTCTTAGTTTTTACAATTATTTCATGCGAAAGTATCACGTATGAATCATTTAAATTTTGTATGGATATATGCAGTAAGTAATTTAAAACTTCGCAGTAAAGACAGACTTTGGTTCAGAATATGGGAAACTAGCTGTTCGCGTGCGGATTCATCAGCGTGAAATTTTAAAAACTTTTTTTTATTAGTTTACATTTGTAAAATTTTCAATTGCAAATGTCAAAATTACATGTCATGACAAACCTTAGCAATCTTGCTTTCTTGGTGTTGGCAGTAACTTATGGTCTCTTAGGGTTTTTATCCAAAAAATTTACCCCCTAAGTTTAACGGCGTGAAAATATGTAGCCTAAAGCATGACGTAAGTGTAGGGCTTTTTATTAAAAAAAGAATTATTAAAAAATATGCTGTAATTGCTGACTTGTTAGGCAACAAAGAAGTGTGTGTTTACGCTTTATTATAATAGTATAGATATAATTATTATAAGAAATGTTTATAAGTTTGTACAACCTTAGATACAAAGTTTTTATTGTCCAAACCTTAATTTAAAACCAGCAAACGTTCAAAATTTAATTAAACAACTTCGTTTTCACAAACTTGTTAACTAACAACTTTCTAATACAAAGAAATCGATTCCGTTGTTTGGACGTTAGCGAAACTCGTTTCATTAGAAAAGAAAAAACTTTGTTTAATTGAAAAAAGTTTTATTATTGTTCAAGAAATACACGTGCAAATAATTTCACGTGTATTCTTGCACGCAACTTCAAATATTTGTAGACCAAACACGTGAACGATCTTACTAATATTATAAACGCGAAAGTTTACATAGATTAATGTTTTTTCTGATCTAAAAGTCTAAAAAAACGTATAGACTACCCATTAAGAGCATTCGCACACCTGAAACTAAACTACCTCATAACCTTTTAGTCTCGCTTTGATTCCTGTGATCTTATATCAAGGTGCGCACACTACTCGATTTTTAGTTGTGCAACTAAACATTTGAATAGGTTATGAAACAATCGACAATCGCATAACAGTCGTGTGATAGTATAGTCAAAGCTAAGAGTCGAGGGCAAACGCTAGTTTAACTATAAAAAGCCAGAAATAACATCTATCACTAAAGCAAAAATATTCTCTTCTGTCTGAATCAAAATGTATTGAAATTCGAAACATATTATGCGTTTGTATAAAATTTTCCCTTTGTGATTTCGCGAATCGTGTAGATATTTCAACAAGAAATCCTTCAGTACATATCCGTTGCATTTGATCATACATTTTAATGAAAGCAAAAATAACGACTTTCTATACAAAAGCACACATCTCTCTGTTGCTTTTATTTCATTCTTTTACTTTGTACACGTAACACAAAACTTCTTTGACTTTCAGCATGGGTTTTAAATTAAATTACCCGAGTTTAACATTTTTAAAGCGTTCATATTTAGACTTAAAAATAAAAATAAATAAACAGCAGTTTTTGAATTAGTTTTAACCTTTTTATCCGTAGCTTGTATCTAAGTAAGGTCAGCTTTCTTTGTTATTTTCTTCCACTTTTATACTCGACATCTTCCTGACACTTGGCATGTGATCAGATCCGTTCAGCAGTTTTACAAACTCTAACAAACATCCATCTACCTAAACATTCGCATTTATAATATTTGTAAGTACTAGCTGTTCCCGTGCGGCTACATCCGCATGTAATTATGAACATTTTATTTTATTGTTTATATTTGTCAAATTATGAATAGCAAATGTCAAAATGACGTGACATGATAAACCTTAGCAATCCCGTTTTCTTGATGTTGGCAGCAACTTATGGTCTCTTTCCCACATTAGGGTATTTATCCAAAATATTTACCCCTAAGTTTAATGTCGTGAAAATATATAGTCTAAATCATGACGTAAGTGTAGGGCTTTTCATTAAAGAAAGAATTGTTCAAAAATGTGCTTTAATTGCTAACATCTTAGGCAACAAAGAAGTGTGTGTTTACGCTTTATTATAATAGTATAGAAATATAGATAGTATATAGTATAGAAGTAAAGATATATGTCTGTTTCATGTCAAACACATTAGTTTGTATTTTTAGAGAAAAAATGATAAAACGATATAAAACTCTCGACTTATTCAAAAAATATGACCCACAAAGGTTTAAACAGAAGGTATATCATTGAAAGAATAAAAAGACTAGGCATTTTAATGAGCGGCTGAGTATGCTCTTTGCTAGCTACAGTTATGTATAGATTTTTTTTGTTACTTTTTTTTATACTGAGTTACCTTTTTAAACACAGAGTTGGATATGTTAAGACCCTTTGAATAAACTATCGCACAACTGTTGTGCGATTGTCGATTGTTTCGCAGCCAATTCAACTGTTTAGTTGCACAACTAAAACCTCCATAAGCTCATAAGAATCAAAGCAAGACTAAACAGTTGTGCGATAGTTTAGTCAAATGTGTACAAAGAGTAATTGAAAGAAAATTTGACAAGATTTTTGTAAATTATTTTACGAACTAATTTAGTAATAACGTTACCCTAAAAACATAGACTAGCTTTCGCACGCGACACCGTCCGCGTGGAATAAAAAAAAACAAAAATGAATAGCCTATGACTTTTTTTTTATAACAAAAGGTGGCAAACGAGCAAGCGGCCACCTGAATCCGCCAAAATGGCGAAGCGACCGCTGCCCATAGACATCCGCAATTGCAAATGCGTTGCCTACCCTTATCCGACAGATGAGATGCACATAAAGAGGATATTTCCCCTTCCTATGTATCTCCTCCTCCGTAAAATCCACTTTCCATTCCCATCCTCTCCTTATAAGAAAAGGGCGGTAAAGAGAAAGGGACTTAAATTAGGCCTCCGGCACCACACTCATCAGACGAAACACGGAATTGCTTCCATTTCACGCCTGTCTTCTGTGAGGTCGTGGTATTACACCGGGCGTGCCGGCCCATTCGTGCTAAGATGTTCAAGCGGGCACTAACACTGTAAAACTTCCAGACTATCCTCTACATCTATGCTAAATTTTAATGAAATTCGTTCAGCCGTTTAGGCTACAAACTCTAACAAACATCCATCCATCTAAACTTTCACATTTATAATATTAAGTAAGAATTAAGATAAATTTTAGTTAAACACGCGTTTTAACTTCTTGACCGTCTTTGTTATGGACATAAACGAGGTTATCTTACCGTTGATAATGCGAAATTTTACATGGATAAATATTACTAAAATCTTCTGAAGGATTTAGATTTCAATTGATTTCTCTATATTTTTGTTAATTAAAACGATTAGATTTCTGAATAGGATATACAAGCTAAGTAAGATGATGCCTTGAATCATCTTACAATGAATTGAATTGAATCCGGAATTAACGTGCCGTAATTAATCTTTGGAGTTCGGAACAGAGTTTTCTTACCTAAAAATCGAAAGAATTTAAACAACAAAAGAAAGAGTTCAAAGAGAAATTCAAAGTATTGATATTGAATGTATTTGTACAAATGTATATAGTTATATTGCCCGCAGAACAGACAGTCGATGGGGCTGAAGAGTCCTGGAGTAGCAGCCACGGATAGGTCGTCACAGCGTAGGTAGGCTTCCCGCAAGATGGACTGATGACCTGGTCAAGGTTGCGGGAGTGCACTGGATGCGGGCGGCACAGGACCGGGCATTGTGGCAATCAATGGGGGAGGCCTACGTTTAGCAGTGGACGAACTATGGCTGACAATGATGATGATGATGTACAAATGTAGTGAGGACTTAAAATTGGTTTGTGTAAAAGATATGCTTAAGGAAGAGAATTCAGATATGACAGCGGTACCGACCCTTTTTAGGAACAAGGTAAGGTTGTCAATAACGACTAAACTGAAATTATACGTAGGAAACCTTGTTTAATTCAAGTATATTTATTATTAGTTTAGCTTTATACGTGCAAACAGGAAAAGTTTTATTATAAATTCCGTTACATTTGCATACCACCCTTAACAACTACGGTGTTTCAATTTTGCGAGCGCGCCTCAAGTTTTAATTACGCCGCGAAATTAATTCGGAATTTAGTTTTCAACGTCAATTTATATCTAACGGTAGTCGGAAACAACAATCAACAATTTTATTTCAAAACTAGCTGTTACCCACGACTTCGTCCACGCAATCTATACTTCTATACTATTATAATAAAGCGTAAACATACACTTCTTTGTTGCCTAAGATGTCAGCTATCACAACATGTTTTTGAATAATTCTTTCTTTAATAAAAAGCCCAACACTTACGTCACGCTTTAGGCTATATATTTTCACGCTATTAAACTTAGGGGGTAAATATTTTGTATGAAAACACTAAGGTGGGAAAGAGACCATAAGTTGCTGTCAACATCAAGGAAGCAAGGTTGTCATCATGTCCTGTCATTTTGACATTTGTAATTTGGCAAATGTAAACAAAAAAATAAAGTTTTTATAATTTCATGCGGATGAATTCACATGGGAACAGCTAGTTATGACAAAAAAAAAAGAATATAAACAGCATTATTAATAAATCTATTATTTACTTACCTATTCTCAAAGCCGAAATTGAAGCGAGTAATATAATTGCCTTGGCCATGTCCGCACGATTTCCTGGAAGAAAGAAAACTAATTGAATACTAGTCGTTTTTATAATGCCACTCGAACGGAGTTGCGGGCGAAAGCTAGTATACAAATAAAAATTCATCATTAATTTACTTATAATTTATTGCCGTAAAATTCGTCGACAGTAATAAACCTTTGAAAATATCAAGTTGTTTACGACGCAAATGGCGACCGCGGGGAAAGCGAGACGTATGGGTGAGCGGGGTGCAGAGACCAATCAGCGCAGAGGCGCCTGCGACGTCATATAACTGTCACTACCGCTCAATTGCATACGAAAATAACATTGTGAATTTCAAATTGTAATTTGCAAACAATGTAATCAGTTATAGAAGATAAAACGAAGCTTTAATTCAGGTCAAAAACATTGATGACGTAAAGAAGTTGGGGAAGTGAGCCATTTCTCTGCGCCTGTACCTTGACCGGGAAAGACGCCACAAACAAAGTAATAAACAAATACATGATTGGGTTTGTATTGGATTCCATAGTCGGTAGACGGCTATTATAATAAAGGATTGCTACATGGAACTCGAAAATGGACGTAACATTTTATTTAAATACTCACTTACAAATTTTTTAAATTTTCCATTTAGAGTTTTCGAGTTTAATTTGCCTTCATTTGTTTTGTTTCATATGGAATCAATTTAATAATTAAATTTACACATAAATACATTTCCACACTTGTTTAAATATCGAATGTGCCATTCTTTATTAATAATTCATAAGTATAACATTTTTCATAACTACCTACCGATTGTGCATTTTTTGATAAATTTGCTGTTTAATACTAAGTAACTATTACGAATTCCCGTTCCCAATTATTTCATCCGTACAACTACAGTTAGGTATGTTGTAAACAATTTATATTGCAAATTTATGTTAGTTAATATAAAAATCTCTTAATTCGCATAAAGCTTGAATTAATACGGCGCGCTTCTTTGCTTTAGCTAAGTCTTTTTGTCTCTTACTTTGAATAAATGTAAACTAGTACCATTGATAAATTCTTCTTTCTTTATTGATAAAACACACAAACTATTCACATAAATTGATAAAAAAGGCATTTAATACAAATAAAATGATGTTACATCGCTCGCGTCACATTTTTCACCACATTCGAATTACGTTTCTTAATAACAAAATATTTTCTATGGCTTTCTTGGCGGCCAGCATGATATTCATTATTTATTGCTTGACCATACTTTCCTATTTAACTTCTGGTTTACCAAAATAAACCGTAAACAATAAATGGCAGTTAGTGTAAAAAC